TTCATTGAACTACAATACCGACAAGTGATTAATAAAAGTCAAAAGACCAAAGAGGTCACCTTAATACCAAAAAAAAATAAAAAAATAAAGTGGTGATCAATAAATAATGTAATAAGGTTAAGTCAATTTTGTATTTGTAAGCAAGGAAAAAAATTAAAAACTAATAAATGCTTTTTTTTTCAAAACTAATACTTATCCGATTATTTTGCAAAGACTAAATAGATGGCCAAATCCCTAATTAAGTATGTATATAATGATAAGCTAATATAAAACAATAGAGAAAAGAATGTGTTAATGAGAAAAAAATTATTTAATACATATCATTGGCTAATATTTTTGAAGTGACCAAATAATCACATATAATATGTAATCAATTTAAAAATAGATCGAAGCCATATTTTGGATCAGACTATATTTATTTTATGTTATAAATTATTAGTATAATATTCATTAATTTAAAAGCTAAAGTAGTGATCAATAAAATGATGTAATAAGGTTGAGTCAATTTTGTATTTGTAAGCAAGAAAAAAAATTAAGAACTAATAAATACTTTTTTATTCAAAACTAATACTTATCTAGTTATTTTGCGAAGACTAAATGGATAGCCAAATCTCTAATTAAGTATGTAGATAATAATAAGTTAATATTGATACTGTGCAAATAGCATATGAATTTAAATATGCATATATGAGTATCTGCTAATAATAGTTCAATTTTTACAATTTTTTTTTATTTAAAGTTGTTTATTTCGCATAAGCTACCTTTAACAACTTCTCAAAATTTATCTTCTGTAATTTCAATGACTTCATATGATTCATCTTCAATGTCTTTGTATTATTCATCTGAAGCTAAAAGAGAAACTGAAAATGAAACATGTTCAAAACATCCTGGAGGAAGACCACTGGATCCTATTTGGGAGCATTTTGCTACAACTCCATTAAAATCATCTGGCCATTTTTCTGCAATATATAAATATTGCAATACTCAATTTAGCTGTGGGCATCCAAATAAACTTGAGGTGCATCTTGCAAAAAAATGTGAAGATGAAAGCCTTGATGATGAAATAAGAAGCAAATATCTTGAAATTGCAATTCAGAGACAATTATCAAAAGAAAAAACTAGTTCAAAAAATCAATTAAAAAAACAAAAAATAAGTATTAATAATTATTGGAAAAACAAAAATTAATTTTTGGCAAGTCCTAAGAAGGAAGCAATTGATCATACAATTATTAAAGCCTTTGCTATGTGTGGACTTCTATTTTCCATAATTGAGAATCTATGGTTTATCAACATACTTAAATCTTTACGATCTTTGTATGTACTATTTACTCGTAAATATCTTTCTAATACATTATTAAATGAAGAAGTGATTAAAATTAATTGGGAGACTAAGAAATACTTAAAAACTACAGATAACTTAACACTTGGTAATTAGCTTTAATATACTTATATAATACTTTAACATATATAATTATATAATTGTATTAAATTTATATTATATTATTTAGGATTAGATGGTTGGATGAATCCTTAGGGTGCTTCAATTTATAATTTTTTAATAATGACTCCTGATCATAAGGAATTTTTATATGCTCTTCATAATTTGTTTCATGTTAGTCATATGGCAGATTTACTCTTTAATGAGATTGAAAAAATTCTAATTAAGATTGGGTCTAAAAATTTATTGGAGTAATTTCTAATAATGCCTCGACTATTGCTGCTGCATGTAGGCAGATTAATCAAAAATATCTTTCTATTATCAATCTTTGTTGTATTGTTTATTTTGTTAATCTTATTAGTCATGATATTTTAAAATGTAAATTATCAGCACGTATTTTAAAATATTGCAATAAGATATGCTGCTTTTTTAAAACTAGTTATTTAGCTAAAAGTTATTTAAAACGATATATAGTGTAATATGGTTGCTTAACCTAACTAGATTCTAAATATTTGTTTAATAAATATGTCGTCGCCAGTTAAAT